CAAAACAAGGAGATAGTAGCATCAGCAGATTTAGGATGGGCCAAGGTTACCAAGACCCTGCCAACATCACAAGGAAACTACCCAAATTAGGAAAGATTTGAGGAAAGTTCAAAAGTTTACACCGAGGAAGACCAACCAGACGACCACCTCCTCCGATGAAGGCTCCGGATCTCCCACCTCTAAACCTCCCCAAATTAAAGACTCCGCCCAGACTCTGCCTATATATGAATATTACAAGTAGATGTTGCAATGTAATTAATATACATGTATAATGATGTAATCCCTACTCAGAAATTGTATAAAAAGGTTGCACTAATTGTTAACAACGGAGCTCTTTGCCCAGGGCGACCTGGAGAGCTCCCCAACGCGTTGCTAATAAAATACCTCCTGCTTTGAGCATGAAACTTTGTCTCTAAAGCAGTCTCTCTGTGCTTCTTTGGGGCAAATTCGGCATCACTCTCTCACTCTCTTTTCTCCTCCAGCCTTTCCTGGCAGGAACCAGGACAGTTGTGTGCATACAGAAATGGGACTCAAACACAAAAAGGGGAGATATAGCCCAGTTTTAAATTTCAGAGGCTATTTTTAATATCCTCTGAGCAGACAAAAGCCACTGCAGGTATAAGAAGTCTCTCTCTTCTAGTTCTTCTCTCTGGTTAAGCGGTAAGAATGAAAGCCTATAAGGTCTTTATAAAGTTTCTCGGCTCTGCCGTGGACCACCTGCACTGGCAGCAGGGTCTGGGCTGGAAAAGAAATTGCGGGTGACCCTCCCGGGTCAGCACCTTTCCCTGGTGCACTTTGAAATCCTCAATTCCACAGGAACTGTGCCCTTTGCTCAGGGCCTTCCCTGATGCTTTCAATCCTGAGGTGAGCAGTGTTGCTCAGAGCTCCCTGTGATCGTGGTTGGTGCCCGTGCTCATCGGCTGAGGAGCTGATTATTTTGTGCTACCTGGATCAGCCCGAGGTGCTGGGAATGTGAAGGGATCGTGGCCGAGCACGTGCAGCATTCCCTGGGACACACCCGTGGGGAAGAGCTCCAGAAATGCCTCCCAGACGGGCGGCAGGCGCTGGAGCGCCAAGGTGGGGGGGCAAAATTCCTATGGAAATGGGGCATTTGGGAATGGGGGACTTGTTGGGCCGAGTGGAACATGGGATACTGACACTGTCCTGCTGCGCATACGGATTCTTTCCGGGACCACGGGGATGAGCCACATGAAGAAAGAAAATTTCACACAGAAAGAAAATTAGAGAGCCAAAAGCGCAATTTGAAGTCAATTTGGCTACTTCTGTCAGGGATAACAAAAAGCGCTTCTATAAATACATTAATAACAAAAGGAGGGGCAAGAAAAACCTCCATTCCTTGTTGGACTTGGGGGGAACAGGGTTAACAGGGGTGAGGAGAAGGTTGAGGTACTTAACACCTACTTTGCCTCAGTATTCACCAGTAGGACAGGTGGCCCTCAGGACAACTGGCCTCTGGAACTGGTAGACAGGGACAGGAAACCAAATACCCCCTGTATTCCAGGAGGAAATAGTCGGTGACTTACTGAGCCACCTGGATCCACACAAGTCCATGGGACCAGATGGGATCCATCCTAGGGTGATGAGGGAGCTGGCAGAAGAGCTCGTCAAGCCGCTCTCCATCATTTACCAACAGTCCTGGCTCACTGGGGAGGGCCCAGGCAATTGGAAGTTGGCGAATGTCACGCCAATCTACAAAAAGGGCTGCAAGGAGGACCCAGGAAACTGTCAGCCTGACCTCAGTGCCTGGCAAGGTTATGGAGCAGATCATCCTGAGTGCAATCACACAGCACCTACAGGATGGACAAGGGATCAGAGCCAGCCAGCACGGGGTTAGAAAGGGCAAGTCCTATCTGACCAACTTGATCTCCTTTTATGATCAGGTGACCCACCTGGTGGATGAGGGAAAGGCTGTGGATGTGTCTATCTGGACTCCAGCAAAACCTTTCACACCGTCTCCCATAATATACTCCTGGAAAAGCTGCAGCCCATGGCTTGGACAGGGGCACTCTGTGCTGGGTTAAGAACTGGCTGGAGGGCCGGGCCCAGAGAGTGGTGGGAACGGGGTTGCATCCAGTTGGGATCCAGTCACCAGTGGTGTCCCCCAGGGATCAGTGCTGGGCCCAGTCCTGTTTAACATCTTTATGGATGATTTCGATGAGGGGATGGAGTCCATCATTAGCAAATTTGCAGATGACACCAAGTTGGGAGGGAGTGTCGACCTGCTGGAAGGCAGGAGGGCTCTGCACAGGGACCTGGATAGGCTGGAGAGTTGGGCTGATTCCAGGGGGATGAGGTTCAACAAGACCAAGTGCCAGGTCCTGCACTTTGGCCACAACAACCCCTGCAGCGCTACAGGCTGGGCACAGAGTGGCTGGAGAGCAGCCAGGTGGAAAGGGACCTGGGGGTGCTGATCGACAGGAAGCTGAACATGAGCCAGCAGTGTGCCCAGGTGGCCAAGAAGGCCAATAGATCCTGGTCTGCATCAAGAACAGTGTGGCCAGCAGGAGCAGGGAAGTGATCCTTCCCCTGTACTCAGTGCTGGTGAGGCCACACCTTGAGTATTGTGTTCAGCTCTGGGCCCCTCAGTTCAGGAAGGACATGGAGGGGCTGGAGCAAGTCCAGAGAAGAGCAACGAGGTTGGGGAAGGGACTTGAGCACAAGTCCTTTAAGGAGAGGCTGAGGGAGCTGGGGTTGTTTAGTCTGGAGAAGAGGAGGCTCAGGGGTGACCTCATCACTCTCTACAACTACATGAAAGGAGGTTGTAGCCTGGTGGGGGTCGGTCTCTTCTCCCAGGTAGCCAGCAACAGGACAAGAGGGCACAGGCTTAAGCTGTGTCAAGGGAGGTTTAGGTTGGATATTAGAAAGAAGATCTTTACAGGCACTGGAATGGCCTGTCCAGAGAGGTGGTGGATTCGCTGTCCCTGGAGGTTTTTAAGACGAGGCTGGATGTGGCACTGAGTGCCATGATCTGGTAATCACAGTGGGGTTGGATCAAGGGTTGGACTTGATGATCTTGGAGGTCTCTTCCAACCCAGTTAATTCTATGATTCTATGATTCCCCGCTCCCAGCCTCCCCCTGGGCGGAGATCCCGGGCTCCGCCATCCCGGGGGCTCCCCTGGCACGGGCGCTGCTCCCGCTCCCCTGGCAGCGCCTCCTCGCTCCTGGCCCAGGGGCGAAGGTGCCGTCGCTGTTGGGAACGATCCCACACCGCTCCATCTCCCGATCCCGGAGTTCATTGCCCTTCATCCGGCTCATCCCCGTGGTCTCGGGGCAGAATCCGTACGTGTGGCTGGACAGTGTCAGTATCCCGTGTTCCACTCGGCCCAACAAGTGCCCTATTCCCAAATGCCCCATTCCCATTGGAATTTTGCCCCCCCACCTTGGCGCTCCAGCACCTGCCGCGCATCTGGGAGGCATTTCTGGAGCTCTTCCCCATGGGTGTGTCCCAGGGAATGCTGCACGTGCTTGGAAGTGTCCCAGGGAATGCTGTACGTGCTCGGCCACGATCCCTTCACATTCCCAGGACCTCGGGCTGATCCAGGCGGCACAAAATAATCAGCTCCTCAGCCGATGAGCACGGGCACCAACCACGATCACAGGGAGCTCTGAGCAACACTGCTCACCTCAGGACTGAAAGCATCAGGGAAGGCCCTGAGCAAAGGGCACAGTTCCTGTGGAATTGAGGATTTCAAAGTGCACCAGGGAAAGGTGCTGACCCGGGAGGGTCACCCGCAATTTCTTTTCCAGCCCAGACCCTGCTGCCAGTGCAGGTGGTCCACGGCAGAGCTGAGAAACTTTATAAAGACCTTATAGGCTTTCATTCTTACCGCTTAACCAGAGAGAAGAACTAGAAGAGAGAGACTTCTTATACCTGCAGTGGCTTTTGTCTGCTCAGAGGATATTAAAAATAGCCTCTGAAATTTAAAACTGGGCTATATCTCTCGTTTTTGTGTTTGAATCCCATTTCTGTATGCACACAACTGTCCTGGTTCCTGCCAGGAAAGGCTGGAGGAGAAAAGAGAGTGAGAGAGCAGCACTGGGGTTAAGGAGAGTCTCGGTGAGGGCACTAAATTGGGGAGTACCATTTCTAAACCACAGGAACACAGTTCATTGGGCTAAATTGAAGCTTCTCTGAAAATAGTCTGACAGCTGGATGCTCTCTGAGTACCAGGCGGCCTCACATCACAGAGCCCTGGAAGCTGATCCCAGACCCTGCCCCCAGTGCAGGTGTCCCATGGCAGATATAAGGAACCACAGAAAACCATTCTATTTTATATCTTAAACAGATATAAGGACCAGAGGAAAGACAGCTCTTACACTTGCAGTAGGTGTCACCTGCTGAGAGGCAATCAAAATGCCCTCCAAAAATTAAAACTGGACTTCATCTCAGCATTTTGTGTTTGAATCCTTTGTTCATATGCACACCACTCAGGAATCTCAGTGAAATTGAAGTTTTTATTGAGGAAAATTATAATCTATTAATATCTATATATCTACCTATCTATCTATCTGTCTATTTATCTATCTGTCTGTCTATCTGTCTGTCTATCTACCTATCTTATAATCTGTCTAATCTATCTGTGCCCTACTATCTATTGGCACAACTGCGATGAAACTGTGACCCAGCTCAAGCCCTAAGGTGTGTTTAGGGCAATCCCAGGCTGGTGACAGGAATCACTGGGTGAGCCCAGGCTGGCAGTGTGTGCTTGGGGCAGCCAAATGCCCGAGGTGCTGTCCCTGCAGCCGTGGCTGCGGTGCCTCCCTGTGCCACGCTCTCAGCCGGACGCTGCCGAGGCTCACACGGTCACCTGCAGGCAGCTGCCTGGCGCTGGCAGCCTGGCACTGCTGCTCCTGCCCTCGTGGGACACAGGTGCCAAGGAACAGCCTGGCACAGCCCTGAGCACCCTCCCGAACAGGGAGTGTCGTTGCCGTCACTCCAGGCCGCAACTGGCGTGGCAGAAGGAGATCCGTGGCCAAGGGGCTGAGCGGGCAGCAGGAAAGCTCCTGCCTGCCCCACTGGCACCAAGGGCTCCTGCCAGGGAAGAGCAGGCAGTGCACAGGCAGTGGTTGTGGTTGTGGCGGTGCCGGCCTGGCCTGGGTGCTGCTCCCTGGGACGGCTGGGCCAGGCCTGCCACCACTGGGGCAGCGCTGGACTTTGGGACGTGGCTGGCTCCTCCTCGGTGTCTCACAGATGTCTGATGGCATTTGGCACTCATGGTGACATCAGCCATTTGAAACAGGTCACACAGATCGTAGATGAAAATTTAGTGTCGAACTTAGGTGGGAAGTTCCTGCCTCACAGTGCTCTTTGCCACAGTTGCTCTGTAAAAGAATGGAGTTACACAGCTCAGTGTTTCCATTTCAACATTTTCTGTCCTCTCCCACACTGGAAAATTTGTACCAACCTGCTGACCAAAAGTCGTTGGCTTTACCACACGTGGCTGGGGTGTGTTCTGAGGCCGGGAGTTCTGCCCAGTCCCAGACGGTTCCCAAGGTGTCCCAGGCCAGCTGAATCCAGAGGTGGAACTGCAGCCCGATGTCTGCTGACATCGCTGAATGTGGCTGCAGATTTGCTTCTCTGGCGCTCCCAAAGGAGCTTCGGGTTGGCCTCTTCAAGTCTCTCATTGGCTCTGAAACATTCAGAGGCACACAAAGAGTCACCTTGGGCAGCAACGCTTTGGCAAAGTTCCCCTCTATGTCCTTGACTATTCCTTGACTTCTAAATGCCAAGGGGATGAAGAGAGTCCAAAACAAGCACATCCTTTGATCTGAGCTTGTGCAGAGGGCCTGTTTCCAAAAAATCACACCAAGTGCAAGGAGCAGCAAGTGTCACCTCCATAAGAACTCTGGGCTACCCTGCTGGCCTTCAAAGGAAAGCTCAAACCTCAGAGCTGCTGCTAAAACAGAAAGATCATTCTTATTTTTGATTCACAGAATCCAACTCTGCTCTCTGAGAGGCCTCTCCTTATTCAAACAGGAAAGGCCACAAGATTGATCTTTTCTGTTACACACAGGAGGAGGAGGAGATTAGAGATTGGCAAAAAGACTGCCTGTTAAATCAACATCAGCTGGAAAAAGACACCACTCATGCTGTAATGGTGCTACTGTGGTGTTACTGCTGGAACTCTATGGAGAAAGGAAGACAGGTCTGGTGAAGGGAAGGGTCTTGAGGTGCTTTCCCCACAAATATGCCATGTTATGCTTTCACACATTGTGCTGGCCAGATGTAGAAAAGGGATTTTAGAAGGAAAATGCACAAGGAAAAAGGAGTCTGTGATTACCACTCCAAAAAAACCATGAACTTACCTTTCCAGTTTCTTTGCGAGGCTTTTGCTGGTTTTCACTTCCTGCAGGTACAGCTCTATGTACTTGTCCACTGCTGGCTGTCTGGATTCTTGTTGAAAAGGTCTTTCTTGTTGGTTGCTTTTTGTCCTTCCCAGTGCACGTTCAAGATCTCTAGTTCTGTCTTCTAACTGGTTTTTCAGTGAGTCAAAATGACTGCTTCTGATTTTTTCTAAGGTGTCCTGGCAGGCTGCCTGTTCCTGAATGAGACAGTGCACCTTCAACCACCACAAGAAAAACAGAGCTCTCCCCAGCAGAAAATTGCACATACCGAGTTTCAAGGGCCCAGCTTTGCTCAGAGAGGTGGCTGTGCCTCCTCACAAGCAGCAGCAATCAAGGCAGAACCCAGGAGCTACCAGGGTAAATAATTCTTCTCATTCAGAAAGAGGCCAAATCAGCACTCTTAGTCAAAGCTACCAATGAAAAGACACTGTATCTGCAGGACAGGGCATATTGAAAAGGATGCTTCAAAGACAATCAGAGCATCCCCACCTGCACCCCCCTCACCCCACCCCTGTCATTTCAGGGACTCCTTTTCTGAGCACTTTCCCCCCTACAAGGACAAAGCAGCACCCCAATGTCTGGCCATGACAGCTGCAAGTTGCCAAACCCATTGGAGGATGAAAAGGGAGAACCAGAGCAGGGGACAGAGATCCCCCCAGGCACTGCCAACTGGGAATGTGCCTTGGGCAGGCTTTGGATTCAGGGACCTGCCAGCACATCACACACCCAGCACTGCTGCCCAACCATCTGCCCTTCTCCCACTGCCTCCAGCACAGACAGAAGTACAGCACTAACACACAGAGAATGCAGGAGGGAAAGGAAAATACCAGAAATCGTGGCCGCAACAGAAGTTTACGTAGTGCCCGTGGACACTGGTGAGAAATTCACTTACTTGCAAAAACTGATTGACTTCATGTAGCTTTTGTGTTATTTCCTTGCTTGCTCGTTCTTCCGCCTCTCTTTTACATTGTTCCAGCTGGGAGCGATCCACCATGTTAGTGTGTAAATGATGCTGGAGTTTTGACAGCTCTTCTTGCAGCTGGCATTTGTCCACCTCCAGTTGTTCACACTTCCTATGCAGAGTGGACAGCTCTTCTTGCAAATCCTGATTTTGGGCTTCCAGCTGCATGCATTTTTTAGATTCCCTGTCCAGCTGCTGGGAAAGTTCAGCAACCTGCAGACAGAAAGAAAGAAAAAAGGAACTCAGCGTGACCTAAAGGCAGTGAATTCTGTGAAAACCCCAAAAGAGGTGGCCAGGGAGAATATATTCATCATCTGCTGACTCAGTACTAGAAAAAAGGTGCAACCAGGCTCTCCTTTTCCAGCAAGAACAGCTTTCCTATCATTTGTGATAGCATTGCTCAGGTTCCCATCCCTTCTGAGTTCCTCAGGCAAAAATGCTCCAAGCTTCTGACTCCCAAGGAATGGCTGCAAAGGCAGGAGGCGATTCCACAGCGCTGCCTTCCAACCCCAGCGTCCCTCTGACACAGCCGCTCCAGCAACGAGTCCCAGGAACGAGCGGAGAGGAGACCAAAGGTTACCCGGCCCTGCTGAACAGGCAGAGCAGCCTCAAAAACACTGCTGGGAACAGCCCTGCTGGGTCCCTGCCACCAGATGGGCTGAAACAGCTCCCCAGGAGCAATAAGGGACAGGATTTCCCTGGGAGGCACCTCTGCTCAGTGTGCCCCGGGCAGCAACAGCTCTGCTGAGAAAAGCAAAACCTCCAGTGCCTCCTGCTCAGCTCGTGCCTGGCACAGGGCCCAGGGGCTGATCGTGCCCTGCGAGTGACAGCGCTGTTCCTGCCCTCTCTTCCAGGGAAGGAATTCATCTGTCAGTCCCAGGTGACGCTGGCACAGCCCCCCTCAAGCTGCAGCCAGGCTGAGCTGGGCCCCACTGCTCTCAGCCCAGGGCCGTGATGTCCTGCCAGGCCGGCAGAGCTGCCCCTCCCTAAGGCCCAGCCGGGGATCTGCACTCTTGGCTGGCCCCGCTTGCTGTCAGTGGGCCTGTTCTGCTCTTCTGGCTCAGGGGCTGTGGGACGGCTCCCTGGCCCGGGAGGTCACGCACCCTGCCAGGCTGGCTGCCACTCTGGGCTTGCCCTTCCTCTGCAGGACAGCCTGGCCTTCCTGAGCCCTTGCACCTCCTGCTTTGCACTGAACATTTGCATCTTTACCCACAGTGATAACTACCCCAGGATTAGTTATAGTCATCTACTACTGTAACAGCAGAAGGAGCTTTAAAAAAAGCCCATCAAATGCAAAATGCAGCCAAGGAAAATAAAAATCATCAACATGACAAGAAATATAGGAAAGCATCTCCCAGGCTTCAAAAGAAGTAACACCACAACCGAAAACCCCTCCCAAAAAGTGCAGCTCACCTCTGTTTGTAATCTATCAACTTCCTTGACCTTTTCAGAATATTTGTTCTTTATTTCTTCCTGCTGGGACTGGGTTTCTTGCTGTTCATTATCCCTGGGTTTCCTCCTATCTATCCTCAGAAGTTCTTCCAGCCTGCACAGCAAATGAGTTAAGAAAACAATGAAACACAGGAAGAACCGGCCTTTTCCCCACAGTCTCCCATAAACAGCACAGACATCATAGAAGCATAGAATGGCTTGGGTTGGAAGGAACCTGAAAGATCATCTCTTTCCAACCCTCCTGCTGTGGGCAGGGACACCTTCCATAAGACCAGGTTGCTCAGAGCCCCATCCAGCCTGGCCTTGAACACTTGCAGGGATGGGGCAGCCACAGCTTCCCTGGGCAACCTGTTCCAGTTCCTCCCCATCCTCACAGGAACCAATTTCTGCCTGGTATCAAATCTAAACCTCCTCTCTTTCCCTTTGAAACCATTCCCCTTTGTCCTCTCACTGCATGCTCTTTGAAATGGACTCTTTTCACCCTTCTTGTAGGCTCCCTTCACGTACTGCAAGGCCACAATTAGGTTGCCCCAAAGCCTTCTCTTTTCCAGGCTGAAGTATTCCAGTTCTCCCAGCCTTTCCTACCAGGAGAGGTGCTCCACCTTTCTAAACACCTTGGTGGCCTCCTCTGGACTCCCTGCAACAGGTGGAGGTCCCTGCTGTGCTGAGGAGCCCAGAGCTGGATGCAGCACTCCAGGTGGGGTCTGCCAAGGGCAGAGCAGAGAGGCAGAATGCCCTCCCTGCCCCGCTGGCCACGCTGCCTTTGCTGCAGCCCAGGGGACAATCGGCTTTGCGGGCTGCGAGCGCACATTGCCGGGTCCTGTCCAGCCCCTCATCCAGCCCAGGTGCTGCTGGGCAGGGCTGCTCTCCCTCTCTCCATCCCCCAGCCTGCATCCATACAGGGGCTGCCCTGAGCCACGGGCAGCATCTTGCACTGGCTCTTGTTAAACCTCCTGAGATTGCCATGGGCCCACTTCTCCAGCTTGTCCAGGCCCCTCTGGGTGGCATCAGGTGTGTCAACCACACCCCTCAGCTGGGTGTCAGCTGCAAATTTGCTGAGGGTGCCCTCCATCCCTTTGTCTGTGTCCTTAGTGAGGATAGGAAATAACACTGGTCCCAACACAGACCCCGCTCTGATGGCACTGCTGTCCCTCAGGACTCTGAGCCATTGATCACCACCTCTGGATGGGACTGCTCACCCAGTTTCTTAATCCATCAACAGTCCACGCATGGAATCCACCTCTCTCCAGCTTAGAGAGAAGGATGTTGTGGGGGACTGTGCCAAAGGCTTTCCAGAATTACAGGGAAAGGACACCTGGAGCCCTTGGCCACTGATGCAGTCACTCCATCTTAGAAGGCCACGAGGTTGGTCAAGCAGGACTTGCCCTTGGTGAAGCTGGGCTGGTGTCTCGAATCACCTCCCTGTCATCCCTGTGCCTTGACAGAGCTTCTAGAAGGATCTTTTCCATGACCTTCCCAGGCACAGAGGGCAGCCTGACAGCTTGGCAGTTACCAGGGCCCTCCTTTCTACCCCTTTTAAAGATGGGTACAGTGTGTTTCCCTTTTTCCCATCACCTGGGACTTCACCTGACTGTCATGACTTTTCAAGTATCAAGGAGAGTGTCTTGGCAACTACATCAGACCCTGTTGGCCTATGTAGGGTAATAATGCTGGTGAGAAGTAGAAGATGGATTTCAAAGGAAAACGTATGAAGAAAAAGGAGTCTCTTATTAACACTCCAAAAAAAGCGTGGACTTACCTTTGCAGTTTCTTTGTGAGGCATCTTCTGGTTCTCACTTCCTCCAGATACAGCCCTTTGTACATTTCCATTTTTCCCTCTGTTGCTTCTTTACAACAAGCACTCTCTTGTTGGGCTTTTTTAACGCTGTCCAATTCCCTTTCGAGATCTCTAATTCTTTCTTCCAGCTGGAGTCTCGTTGAATCACAATTCCTGTCTCTAATTTGTCCTAAGTGGTGCTGGTAGGCTGCCTGTGCCTGAAGGAGACAGTGCACCTTCAACCACCACAAGAAAAACAGAGCTCTCCCCAGCAGAAAATTGCATGGACCCAAGTTCAGGGCTTTGCTCAGAGAGGCGGCTGTGCCTCCTCACAAGCAGCAGCAATCAAGGCAGAACCCAGGAGCTACCAGGGTAAATAATTCTTCTCATTCAGAAAGAGGCCAAATCAGCACTCTTAGTCAAAGCTACCAATGAAAAGACACTGTATCTGCAGGACAGGGCATATTGAAAAGGATGCTTCAAAGACAATCAGAGCATCCCCACCTGCACCCCCCTCACCCCACCCCTGTCATTTCAGGGACTCCTTTTCTGAGCACTTTCCCCCCTACAAGGACAAAGCAGCACCCCAATGTCTGGCCATGACAGCTGCAAGTTGCCAAACCCATTGGAGGATGAGCAGCCAGAACCAGAGCAGGGGACAGAGATCCCCCCCAGGCACTGCCAACTGGGAATGTGCCTTGGGCAGGCTTTGGATTCAGGGACCTGCCAGCACATCACACACCCAGCACTGCTGCCCAACCATCTGCCCTTCTCCCACTGCCCCCAGCACAGACAGAAGTACAGCACTAACACACAGAATGCAGGAGGGAAAGGAAAATACCAGAAATCGTGGCCACAACAGAAGTTTACGTAGTGCCTGTGGACACTGGTGAGAAATTCACTTACTTGCAAAAACTGATTGACTTCTTGTAGCTTTTGTCTTATTTCCTTTTCTGCTCGTTCTTCCGCCTCTCTTTTACATTGTTCCAGCTGGGAGCGATCCACCATGTTAGTGTGTAAATGATGCTGGAGTTTTGACAGCTCTTCTTGCAGCTGGCATTTGTCCACCTCCAGTTGTTCACACCTGACCGTGTGATGTCACCGATGTCCTCTGTCATGTCACAGTTGTCCCTCTTGACATCACTGGTGTGTCTGTGGTGTCATCACTGTCCCTTGTGATGTCAACAATGTCCCCAAAGATGTCACTCCTGTCTCTGTGATGTCACCACTGTCCCCTGTGATATCAGCAATGTTGCCAAGGATGTCATTGGTGTCTCTATAATGTCAAACCTTTCCTTGTGAAGACACCGATGTCCCTGTGACATCAGGGTTGTCCCTTTGTTGTCAACAGTCCCATGTGATGTCACTGGTCCCAAATGATGTCACCAATGTATCTGTAATGGTACCACTGTCCCCTGTGATGTCATCCATGTCTCTGATTATGTCACTGGTGTCTCTGTGATGTCACCACTGTCATTGTGAAGCCACGGATGTCCCCTGTGATTTCTCTGACATCACAGCTGTCATTTGTAGTCACCAGTCCCCTGTGATATCACTCATCCCCAATGATGTCACCAATGTATCTGTGATGGCATCACTGTCCCCTGTGATGTCAGCCCTGTTTACAATGATGTCACTGATGTCCCCTGTGATGTCATAAATGTCCCTGTGACATCACTGGTGTCCCTTTATTGTCAGCAGTCCCCTGTGACGTCACTGGTCCTCAGTGATGTTACTGCTGTCTCTGTGATGTCACCACTGTCCCCTGTGGTGGCACCATGTCCCCGTGATGCCACTGATGTCCCTTTGATGTCAGTGATGTCCCTGTGACATCACGGTTGTCCCTTTGTTGTCAACACTCCCCTGTGATGTCACTGGTCCACAATGATGTCACTTCTGTCTCTGTGATGTCACCACTGTCCCCAGTGGTGGCACCATGTCCCCGTGATGTCACCGATGTCACTCTGATGTCACCAGATGCCTTTAATGTCAGTGATGTCCCTGTGACATCACAGATGGCCCTTTCTTGTCACCAGTCCCGTGGGATGTCACTGGTCCCTACTGATATCACCAATGTCCGTGTGATGTCACCACTGTCCCCTGTGTCTCTGATGATGTCACTGCTGTCTCTATAATGTCACCCTTGTCCTTGTGAAGTCACCAATGTCCCCATTGATGTCACCGATGTCATTGTGACATCACAACTGTCCCTTTGTTTTCACCAATTATCTGTGATGCCACTGGTCCTCAGTGATGTCAGCCATGTCCCTGTGATGTCACCAGACCCCTTTGATGTCACTGATGTTCCTGTGACATCAGAGCTGTCTCTTTGTTTTCACCAATCCCCTGTGGTGACACTCGTCCCCAATGATGTCACCAATGTCCCTTTCATTAGGGTTAGGGTTAGGGTTTTGGGTTTGGCTTAGGATAAGGGTTTAGGGTTAGAGTTAGGGTTAGGCATAGGCTTAGGTTTTAAGGTTAGGGTTAGGGGTTAGAGTTTAGGGTTAGGCTTAAGTTTACATTTAGGCTTAGGTTTTAGGGTTAGGTTTAGGGGTTAGGAGTTAGGGGTTAGGGTTAGGTTAGGGTTCAGTTTTAGGTAACGTTTGGGTTAGAATAAAGGATAGGGTTAGGGTTAGGGTTTAGGGTTAGGGTTTAGAATTAGGATTTAGGATTAGGGTTAGGGTTTAGAGAATTTTATGGTTAGAGTAAGAGATAGGGTTTCGATTAGGGTTAGGGTTAGGGTTTGGGCTAGGGTTAGAGTTAGGGTTAGAATTAGTTTTGGATGAGGCAGAAACTTCACCTTTCTCTTCCCCTTCTCGGTGTGTGGAGCCAAAATCGCCCTTGTCAGGGAGCCCCTGCAGGCTCTGCCCCTCCGGTGATCCAACAGCGGCCCCTGCTGACTGAGATTGGAATTGCGCCGAATTGCTTCCTTTTCTTTGAGGGGGATTTTTGGTACAGGATTATTTGGTTTGTTTTGTGTTCTTCCATTGTTCTGCAAATGCACATATATCCTTTAAAAAAGGGCTGTTATTTTCCCCTTCTCCATAATTCCTCTCCATACTTGGAACCTCTTAATTTTGGATTTACAATAGCTTAGAAGGAGGAGTTTGGTCTTCCTCCTAACTCATTCTCCTGAACCAAACACTTTTGTCTCATTAAACTGAGAGAGGTGGAAATTCATGCTTTGTTTACAGTGCAGAGATCTTGCAGGCTCTTCCCATTTGCCTCTGCCCCTCTCAGAGAACTTGTGTGGACACCTTCCCTGCCTGCACCAGATGATTTCACAAAACTGGGAGGGAGCGTATTTCATGGGGAAGAACCTGGGGGTGTTTTGAGGCCTCTTGAAGAAAATGTTTCCTTCAGGAGAGCTAAAGCCAGAACAATTGGGGAACATCAGAAATGCAGCTCCTCCAGGAATGGCAGTGCCTCCTGGAATTCCCAGCACACGCCCACAGATCCTCTCAGAGGGGTGAGGCAGACATCAAGGTTCGACGAGAATGCCCTGTTTGAGATAACTTAGGAGATGGCTGCATCCCCTCTCCCTTACCCAGAGGCTGGAGATGCTGCTGTCTGGGAGCAAGAGGTGCCTGTGTGGGGGTTCAGCACCCCTGGCTTGGTGCAAGTACAAGAAGCGTTTGGACGATACTCCCGGGCACGTGGTGTGACTCTGGGGGATGGTCCAGGGAAGGCTCAGGAGTTGGACTCGATGATCCTTGGGGGTCCCTTCCAACTTGGACTACTGGATGTGATTCTGTGAAGTTCCCCAGGGCTGTGTGTGAGCAGAGTTCAGGGGCTGAGCAAAGCAGAGCAGGGCAGTGGCAGCACAGCCCTTGAGCACTGCTCCAAGCGGGCTGAGCCCAAAGGGGAGCTGAGGGTGGGGTTGGTCCCGCTCAGGTTAGGGGGCAGAGACACGGGGACAGCAGGGATTGCAGGGCAGGGAGAGCACCAGAGGGAACTGATGGGCATGGGGATGTCTCCAGGCTTGGCTCTCCCAGTGCTCAGTGGCCCCATCTCTCCAGGACAAGGGGCTGATGGGGGCGGACGACAAGAGGAGCAAGGTGAGGACACAGTACAGGATTCAGATCCAGAGGAAGAAGGGTGGATCACTATGTGGACAAAACATATCCAGGAGGAAAGAAGAGTGGAAAGGGCTCACAAGTTATCACTTGCCTCTGACAGTGAATATTGTCTTAGTCGAGGGGTTGCTGTCTGTAAAGTTCATGATTCTTGGTGTCCTGTGCAGGGACCATCCCAGACACTGAACTCCTCCCCCAGCTCCCATCTTAATCCTTTAGATGAATGTGGAACCAGCCAGTTCATGCAAATCTGCCCAACTGGCTGACATGGGCTCTTAGAAAAAGAGAAGAGACCAGAGAAGGTGTGATGGGGAGAGGAAGCAGTGAGCAGGATATGCCATTCCAGCCCACTGAGATCCCAGCTGATGAACCTCCTCATGTCCTGGTGGTGGCAGCTGGGCAGCCTTGGCCCTGATGCTGAGGGAGCATCGGTGTGGGCACAGAGAAGAGCACACCCGCAGCTGGATCCCGTAGTTTATGGACACACAGATGCCTTTGAACACAGGGCATGGAGATGTCTTCACTCGAGGGGCTCACGTCTCCATGTCCAATGCAGGAAATAGATTTGATCTGGATTTATCCATCAGACATTGTCAATACAAGTGTGAGTCACAAAGATGCTTCTGGATCAAGGAATCCAGAACACATTTCTGATGGGTCTGGGCCTGGTGGAAGGGCTGGGTGTGGGCATGTTGGCATGGCCAGGGTTTGTGGGGAGGTGTTGCCCTGCCAACCCAAGTGCTGGCAATCCCTACCAGAGTGGCCTCAAAACACCCCCAGGTCCTTCTCCCTGAAATACCCCCACTCCCAGTTTTGTGAAATCATCTGGTGCAGGCAGGAGAGGTGTCCACACAAGTTCTCTTAGAGGGGCAGAGGCAAATGGGAAGAGCCTGCAAGATCTCTGGGCTTTAAACAAAACATGAATTTTCCACCTCTCTTAGTTTAATGAAACACAAGTGTTTTCCTAAGGAGGATGAGTCAGAAGGAAGACCAAACTTCTCCCTATAAGGAATTGTAAATCCAAAATTAAGAAGCTCCAAGTACGGGGAGCAAGTATGGAGAAAGGAAAAATAACAGCCCTCTATTAAAGGATATTTGTGTATTGTCATACACCCCCACTTGGGGTGGGACTGCATTCTGACAGTGTGGGGCATTGGATCGTTGGTATCCAGGGGGTTTTCCAGAACGAAGAATACAGACCATGACAGGGGGCAACACTTACATGGGTTGTGTTGCTCTGTGGGGTTTGAGGCATTGATTCTTTGGTTGCTGGGGCCATTCTGGAATGGAGAGGATTGACCGTGACATCACAAAGGGGACAAGGGAACACGGGTAGGGCTGCACTCTGCGGGTTTGGGGCATTGGTTCTTTGGTTGCCAGTGTGGATAACTGAATAGAGAGGACAGGCTGTGACATCACAAAGAGTCCCATGGCACATGGGTTGGGCTGCACTGGGACATTGTGGGGTGTTGGCTCTTTGTTTTCCAGGGACCATTCCAGAACAGAGAGGATAGGCTGTGACATCACAAAGGGGCCCATAGCACAGAGGTGAGGCTGCAGTGTGGGGCAGTGGGATGTGTGTTCTTTCTATTCCAGGGGCCTTTCCAAATTGGAGAGGATAGGCCATGACATCACAAAGAAGCCCATGGCAGGCTGGTGGGTCTGCATTCTGACAATGTGGGGCATCGGTTCTTTTGTTGCCAGGGGTTATTCCAGAATGGAGAGGATAGACTATGACATCACAAAGGGGTGCAAGTTAAATGGGTTGAGCTGCTCTGTGGGGTACGAGGTGCGGGGTCTTTGTTTGCCAGGGGCCATTCTGGAATGGAGACAATAGGCTGTGACATCACAAAGGGGTCCACTGCACATGGGTGGGGCTGCCATGTGGGTGTTTATGTCATTGTCTCTTTGGTTGTCAGGGACCATTCCAGAATGGAGAGTGACATCACAAAGGGGCCCATGGCACATGGGATAGACAGCATGACTGTCTCTATGACATTTT